CCCCCCCCCCCCCCCCCCCTCGCCCCCCCAGTGCGCACACACCTCAACTGGTCGAAGAACGGGTGGCGTAGGGCCTCCCGCGGCGTGAAGCGCTTGACCGGGTCCAGCAAGAGGAGGCCCTTCAGCAGAGACGCGGCGTCGGCCGGGATGCCCGGAAGCACTTCCGTGAAGGGAACCGCGGCCTTCCCGTCCAGCTTGTCCAAGAACTTGCGGGCCTGTGCCCCCCTGATGTAGGCCACCTCCCCCGGGTCCGGCGCGCCGAGGACGTCGAAGATGAGGGAGAGTTGGTTCACGAAGCTCGAGCCTGTTATTTATTTATTTTTTTTCCAGCGGTTGTTGGTTTGGTTTCATTTGGTACGAAATCGCACAGCATTAATCAAGCGGTGGTTGAGGGGTGCGTCAGTGGAACACATGTCCAGGTCCTCATTTCCCCAGGAAGAAAGTACCACCCGTTATGTATGCACCGCTTTGCGTTGTCGGCACTCTTACCGGGAAACAGCGGTCGGCGGCCGAGGAGCTCTCCGAAGACGCAGCCGACCGACCACAGATCCACCGCAAAGCCGTAGAAGCCGTTTGGCGACAGCATCAGCTCCGGCGGCCGGTACCAACGGGTCACGACGTGCTGTTTGGGAGGAAAATGGTGGTGAGGGTACGTGTGGGTGGAGACGGAGGGAACCAGGGCGAACGCATTAACAAGAGCAATCAATGGAGGCATCGGAGAGCTTCTAGGTTCGAAAACAGGCAGGTGCAAAGCACAAAACACGTCCAGCAACGTACGATGAACATTCCGGAGTTTTGGTTTGAAACAGCGTTTACGACAACCCAGGCATCGTGTTCCTCTTGAGCCAAAAAAAAAAAAATCGTTCAGCTGTATGAAGGAAGGGTTCAAGACAAAGCCCAAACCCAATATCGTGCTTCTTGCACTTGTGCCGCAAAGATACTCTTGACTTTCGTCCATCATTTACATATGGATAACCATGATCCCTCCCTCTCTCGCTCGCTCTCTTACCTCCGTCATGCCTTCCCCGTCTTGTCGCTGCTCCGCCTGCTCTTGGACGCTTATCAGCTGCCGCGCGAGACCAAAGTCTGTGATCCTCACCTCACAATTCCGACTCACAAGTATGTTTCCTGCAAGGGATCAATCCAACGAAAGGAACAGACAAACCGAGGAAGGCGACGGAATGAATGAATCGCGACAAGACAACGGGGGGGTTGGACTACGTAGTGGATGCGCTGTAGCGGCCGCTGTGATCCGGCCAGTGCCCGAACCGCAACAGCCGTCCGCCTCATCTCGTATCCCGCGTTCGATTGACACCGACCGGCGTGTAGCCGAAAATAACAAGAAGAAGAGCCTCCATATACTAAAAATACGTAGTTTCCGCCCTGAAGAACGAGACCGGTCACCCCGGTGGTCTAGTGGTACCCTCGAAATCCGCTAGTCGCAGAGGTCGTGAGTCCGAATCCCCATGGAGTGAAAAATTTACGAAATTTGCGGGTGAAAGCGAAATATAGCTAAAAAAAGCTCTCGTGTGTACCAAAGTTCGACGTTAGCACCGTTGACGAAGGAAAGGGACGGCTGGACCCTTCTCGCGATAAAAATAAAATTCGGCACGCACCGCAGGAGGAAGGTGGGGCATGGAAAGAAATAAAAGGAAGAAAAAAGTCCTGGTGTTTACCCCCTCATGTGTGACAAAGGATGGTTGTGGTTGCACGAAAAATACACTGAAAAGTGTAGTACTCTACATACGCTGAAAGTGTAGTACACGTCTCACCACGAAAAATGCGGGGATTGTCGCCATAAAAAAAAGGACGAAAACACACAACAACACACACTTCGTGAAAAACGCGTAACACCCACAAGGCTTCTATTCCTGCGTGGTATGTACTGCGCTCAAGACCCACAGTGGTGGCCACTCTAGTGGGCGCGGCTGCGTCTCTTACCACGAGGTATGATTGTTCCCAGTGATCGGGCGTTGATTTAATACGTGTTCGCAACCCGGGCGGGTTGATGAGCGCGATCAGTTGTCAGGTGACCTTCAAGGCCAGCACAACACGAGCACACTCCCGCCCCCGCGCTCACCTGGTTTGAGATCTCTGTGGATAACGCCATTCTTGTGAAGGAACTCCACCCCTTGGAGAATCTGGATCATAAACACTCGGTGGTGCTTGATGGACAAAACCTAGTTGATGTGATATTGGCCGCACGGGTCACGTGACCATCACGTTGTTCATGCGACAAACGAATCAGAGAGAATGAGGGGCGAGGGGGGAGGGGAGATCACACGTTCGAACCCCTCACTAGTCTCCTTTCCGTTACGACGTATTACTATCGCGGCATCAACTTGGGTATAAGAACGCCTACGAATAGACGCTTCACGCACAATATTGTGCACCACCACCGTAGAAACTTTGGCACCCAAGGGCTTTTTACTCATGAGTTCTCCCGTTTGTTGTCGAAAGGGCAAGCAAGCATTTGGTGGGGAGGGAGAGATATTGACACACTCCTTTGAAGTTTTAAGAAATTTTCTCGAAAAGGGCAGTCAGGCACGGGGTGTCCATCAACAGGCCTGCGAGAGAGCGGGAGGCGGGGGGGGGAGGGCGAAGGAAATGACTTGCGGCAAGACTCACCGGGAGTGGCGATGGCTCAACGAGTATCAACAGAGAGACGGGAATAGACCTCCACTTTGTGGCCAACTGTTCCATCCAGTCCTTCGTATCATACCTGCTGCGACTGTATGATGCGGTTCAGGTCCGAGTCCAGAAGTTCCATGACGATGTACAGCTCATCGTCTGCCTGCGGGCCGGAACAGCAGACAGCAGTATCGCCGCAACGGAACCAGTGCGTCAATACCAAAGAGAGGGAGAACGGATGGACACACGTTCGTTTCCTCAACGAAGTTTCCTTTTTGGGTGGCGACCAAAGCTGTCCAACCCGCTGGTCGGCAGCATGCAAAAAACGTTTCAAGTTTGCGAACTCTTTGATTCGCGCGGTTGCCCAGGAAGATCGGCTGCACACTGCACACACGTTCGTTTCCTCAAGTAAGTTTCCTTCTTGGGTGGCGACCAAAGCTGCCCAGCCCGCTGGTCGGCAACATGCAAAAAAAAAATACAGTTTACGAACACATTCATTCGCGTGGTTGCCCAAGGCAACACGCGGGGAAAACATTGTGGGTGTATCACGGCGTGCGTGGGGCCATCCATGCCCATGCTACGAAATCAGGCTTGCGTGTACTTGCCCCATAAACCTACCCCAACCAAAATCCCTCTCTGTCTAACCCCCCGTCTCCCCCCTACCTCGTTGCAGAAAAGGTCTTCCAGGGTGACGATGTTCTCATGCTGACCCAGGTGTCGCATCACTCTCACCTCCCTCAGGACGTGCTTCGCGTCGACGCTAAGGAAAATAGAGCAGCAGTGGAGTAGTAGTAGTTTCGACCAGAACGAACGACAATATCAATGAGACCTCTTTCGTGTCTGCCGTACATTTGAGGGTGCGTCTCCTCTTCTTCGGCAACATGGCACACTTACTTCTGGCGGCCAGGCCGGAAGCGCACGTCACGTACGAAGAGGCCGGCGTGGACGATTTTTTCACATACGTAGTCGTTCATACAGGCCTAGAAAGCACGCCGCGCTACAGCAGTTGTTCGTGGGAGTAAACTTGAGGAACTGCGGCTACACCTTCATTTCCATCTACATCCATATTTGAGTGATTTTGTTGGGGCATGCACCGTAGGGGAGTTCTTCTATGTGACCCCCGATAGAATCGCTCCCTCCCGTTGATGGGGAAAACGCGGCAAGGCCATCGTCTACACAAACATCCATCATAGCATGCGTACATCCACACGGTGGGGCAAAACTGCTCCACAATTTATTTTTATTGCTCCGAGATAAACGGCAACGTGGGATGGATGACGGCAACAAAACAAAGGAAGAAAGAACAGACGGGGGGGGGTGAGCGCATAATATGTATGGTGGGGTAAAATTGCTCCACATTTTACATGATTAGTTGCTGCGAGTTACTGGCTGAAGTTAAACGTCAGCAACGTGGATAGATGGCGGGGAAAAACGAACAAAGAAAAGAAGAACAGCAGTGGTGTGGTAGTATTAGTGACTCTTCTCATCTACGGGCTTTTCCGCCCTCTGATTGGTCGATCGTTGGTTCGGGTGGTGAATTCCTCCCCAGCGCCCCTCTCACCATACCGACAACAACGCGGAGCAGCCGCATTTTTAGCGCAGTTCGCGGCCGCTAGGCCATACGTTGGTCGTGGGTGAGGGTTAGGGTTGGCTTGGGTCGGGTTGGCCACGGCGGTGTGTGAGATAAATCCCATGAAGAACGGAGGGTCGTGCACAGTTTCACCGAAGAAACAAAAACTTCACCTTTGTGTGCAGTGTATTTTTCTTTTTTTGTGTTGTTTGCAGTTGCAAAGAAGATTATTACGTAAGTGGACCAAGAAACGAATTATTTGCTCCTCTCCTGCTGGCAGTTGTGTTTTTCACAGAAATAAATGTAATTGTACCGCGCGTTCGTTGCCTCCTCGGCGGGAGCAGAGAGAGAGAGAGAGAGAATCAGACAGAGAGCATAGAGAGAAAAAAATGTGGCGACCGTACTCTTCGCGGTTTCCAAAGCCGTTCGAGCGCTGGGAGCACCCATAGCTACACTCCCCCCAGTAGCAGCGACCACAACAACTACAGGAAGGAAAAGTCGTCACCGTAGGCAACCACTGATCGTTCCTCCCCTCTTGTCTTCTTGTCCTCCCGTGGTCCGCCCTAAAAAAAACGGTCGCTCTTTTCTTCGATTGGTCGTCGACTTTTCCCGCCCATGACGCAAGGCTGCCGTTATACATCTCCCACTACTAGCGGACAGACCGCCTGTACACACCGACTCCAAAATTGATCATCGTCGCCGTTGCCGGACTGATGTAGTGTGCATGAAACCCATTCATTACGAGAGGGCGGCGTTTCGAGGGCGACTATTTCGGTTATGCTACAATAATTTGCATAAACTTCTGTTTTGGGGTATGTATGTCGAAAACGAAAATCTACGTCCGAAAAAATTCGTTAAACTGCTGTCCTACCGTCAAGTGGAGAAAAAGTCCGCGCTGCGCGCCCTGCAATAAATATCAGTGCTCTAGTATGGGGCACAGGACACGCCACCCTCCGTATTGGATGACAGCGGAAGAAGGCAACAGGAAACGACAAATGGACCCCCATAGGTTTTTCGATGATCAGGGTTGGTTCAAGTTACAGCATATTGTCTATTTCGTCGAAAAACACTCAATTTTCTCACATGTACTCCATGGGACCATGTAACAAATCGTACATACGAACAGCCTGCAGGATCAATCAGTACTGATGATAATGTCGTACGCACCAAAAACGCTTAACAAGACGATTACTGAAGCTAATTGTTTACCACCACCGTTTTTTTTATTGTCAACCGGATGATTATAGGCACACGAGCACACGACGCACCTGCTCAACCGCTATAAACGAGACTGCCCTCCCGCACCATCCTCCTGTCAGGTTACACAAAGAAGGTGTATATTTTTCTCTAATCAAAAAATATATCCAAGACAGAAGTAGTTGAGGTGGGGAAGAAGAAAAAGGCGCCGACGCACGTACGTAAATGAAGAAGACCACCTGCTGCTGGTATTGCTGTAGTCTACAAATAACAAATGCGCCTTGTAAGAGGTATAATAGTCTACCTACGGATGTGGTTGGCCGTTTCTCGCCGTTCATCATCATCATCACCTGTGAGCAGCCATGGGAGTGATCTTTTTGATGGCGACTGGGGCGTTGTTGCGGACGCTATCGACAGCGGAGCACACCATCCCGTACGACCCTTTTCCCACCGCCTCCAGAATTTTATACCGCTCCGGGATCTGCGATGACATGACAACGAGACGTTCGCCAGAAGCAGCAGCGGCAGTTTTTCGTCACTTGTCAGAAGAATCGGCGCTACCACAACGTGCCACGATCAAACATCGAACCCAAATAGAGACAAATCAGGTTGGCTAAGTCGACCTACTACATAGACTAGATCGCACCCTAAAGTTGGTGGTCGCGTGCGCGTACATGAATGGGGCATTCGTTCTTTGCTGGGATAAACGACACGCGCCAAAATAACTTGGATCTGTTGCACTCAGGGTCTTCGGTCATGGATCACTGGGGGATATTTTTGTGCGAACCACCACGCCATCAAGAGGTGAAAAGACGTGAATCGAATGCATCATCATGCTACAATGCTGAAACGAACGCCAGGTGTTTCGCGATTTCATGATGCCCACACAGGCAGGTCGGCGTCGTGGCGAGTGCTGATGAGATAGATGGCCACACAACGACGGGTGAACAATGATTTTCGTGCCACGCCTCAACCGAAACATGTGCTAGACTAGATGATAAACACACATCGATCTGGAAAATTTTCCGGCATCGCCCAGCGGCGGTCCATTGAGTCCCCTCTTGTTGTCGTTGTCTGGTGTGCCTTTTTGGAGGCAAAAATGGTTGTCATCTCTCTTTCGACCATCCATCGAGGAAGGAGGACTTGCACACAGAGAACAGAATCTGCTGGATGGGCTTACCCTGTGAGAGGTCGCCAGGGGCATGTGCATTGGCGTTCATCATGGCAAATGAACAACAAGGAAGACAAAGAAGGTAACTTGTACCGTACGCCGGGTCCGTGTGAAATATATAGAGAGTACTCTAGTTCTTCACCTTCCTCTGTGTGTAATATTAAACAGTAGTGCTCTCTCGCTCGCAGCTTTGCCCTGCATGTCTAGCTAGAGCTAATAAGACGATCGCTTTTTGAATGGCGAGTTACATCCAGAAGATGTCGTGTGCGCCGGGGTGAACAAGCGCAGACACCCGGACGAAGAAAAGCGCAGAGTGTGGAAACGAAAAGGAAATCCGCGAAGATAAGAAAAAACACTGCATTGCACCAACGCGCCATTCATAGACCAACGAGAGCCAAAAAAACTGCAATCGAGATATCGAGATCCTGCGCGTTGCCCCGTGTCACCAAGCGTCTGTGCTCCACGGGACGAACAGCAGGCAATACAGAACGGCGTCCCACCACAGCTGACTCCCAAAACGTGCGTTGTTGTAGACGTTGGTACCCCTGCGGTTCCGTCTTGGTTGCTTGATTTCTTTCTCGTTTCACCAGCAGAAAAAGGAACAAGGTCGTGCATCTTTCGCAACCTCCCAACAAGGACACCGCACCTTGAACATCCTGCCAGCGGTCGATAGGTGGCGCCCCTCTTGCTGTGAGTACTTGGTGAAAGCAGGTTGCAACGCACCATCCCTCTCGCCCTCCAACGAGACACGGCTCGCTGAACCAGGACTCAAGCTGGAAACCATCGGCTTCCGATGGGGTCTCTCTGCAGCCGTATCTCTCCTGCAGCTTCTGCCTCTGGCTCGTGAAAGATCGCACATCGGGGGACGGCGGTGGGCCGGCAGCCGGGGCCGATTCCCCAACGAGGGAGGCGTCGACATGAACGATCCACTCTCTCTTCTGTTGTTCGCGAAGGAGCCCTTGGGGGCCGAAACACGTGTGCGCGTTTGTGTTGTGTTGAAGGGCCGAACCCAAAGGCAAGCAGGCAGGTGGGGTACAATTTAGGAGATCCACGAAATCCTTTCGACCAAGCACGACAGATCTACGAAAAAACACTTGCGATCTACGATCTACGACACGCAAACACAAGGTGCTGCACAACTCCACGCACCACCAAAACGCTTACACTCAAGCTCCTCCAGCACGGCTCGACAGCGGAATGGCACCCCCACGAGGACGAGGGGGAAGGGGAAGGGGTAGGGAAAGAGGCAGAGGAAGAGGTGGAAAGGGCTCGCAGGGTCGAAGAGCGGGTTCGCGGCCAGAGAGTGAGTGGTTGCCCTTGCGATGATGTTGGCGAAATAATAAAGTTAACGACCACGCAGCAGCAGCGACCACCACCGGCACCGACACGCTTGCATGCCCTGCTGCACCTTGCAGGCCCTGCTGCATGCTAGAGCCCTCTGTGTATCTTCATTTCTCTCCACGTCTCTGCTCATCTCGTGAGGCTGTACCGTCCTTTCCAAGCTGTCCTCTGCTTTGCGGTGCGAGCGGCGGCATCAGAAGACACAGGTTGACATGCTCACACCTCAGCCAATCCCTTTGCTGTGCTTCAGAAAACTGATGGGTGTTCGCTTCAACTGCATTTGTGACCGATCCAGCGGGGCGCAGTCTATTACCCTTACATTGATCGGCAGATGCCTGGCTAGAGACAGAGAGAGAGAGAGAGGAGAGCGAGAGATAAACAAAACCGATTGGTGTCCATGTGCTATTATGACGGTGTATATCATACCCCCTCTTGACCGTCGTGTTGGGGACATCTTGTCAGGTTTTAAAAGTTGCCGGCCCTGTCGGCGCTGCCCCGAAAACTGGACTGTCTCGGCGCGAAGCGCCGAATTTTTGTTTCAAGGATCGGCTCAATTCGGCGGCACGCCCCCGACAACGTGTTTACCTGCCCCCGACAACTTCGAGCAATCTCGCCGATTTTTCGGCGCGCAGTTCCCCGATCCCCCACGCCCCACCAACAACCTGCCGCGAAAACACCCACGAAATTCTTACTAAATACATACGAAACGACGAACAAGACACCTATGCAGATGCTTTTGATCTTAGCTCCAACTGGTGAACAACTGTCCAAATTCTTCGACATTGAGCAGGGGGTCCCACAAGGTTGCACGCTGTCCCCAACATTGTTGCAGGTGTTCCATCAACGATCTGTTGGAAGTCGTTGCGGCAGTCNACGAAAAGCGCGGTCATGCTAGACGGAGAACTGTCAAAATTCTTCGACATTGAGCAGGGGGTCCCACAAGGTTGCACGCTGTCCCCAACATTGTTGCAGGTGTTCCATCAACGATCTGTTGGAAGTCGTTGCGGCAGTCCGGAAGAGAGTAAAAGTAGGGTACACGGAAACGTCGGTTTCAGGAATGCTGTTTGCGGATGATTTTGTCGGTATGTCGGACACCCCGAGGGACTGCAACTGCACATTGGCGCGGCGCAACTTGACGCGGCGAAGAAGTTTACTGATATGTGGAGATNGGGGGTCCCACAAGGTTGCACGCTGTCCCCAACATTGTTCCAGGTGTTCATCAACGATCTGTTGGAAGTCGTAGAGGCAGTCCGGAAGGGAGTAAAAGTAGGGGACACGGAAACGTCGGTTTCAGGAATGCTGTTTGCGGATGATTTTGTCGGTATGTCGGACACCCCGAGGGACTGCAACTGCACATTGGCGCGGCGCAACAAGTTTACTGATAAGTGGAGATTGTCTGCCAACGTTCAGAAGAGTGCCGTCATGGTATGCAACGAGAACAAGGAGGAACCAGTAGAA